CTGCTCTGAGATTCTGCTCAGTAACGGATGCAGCTGTTCGTCAGGCCAGTCCTGGAGAAGACCGGAGACAATGTACAGCTGTGCTTCGGGGAGTCTGTCTGTGAAGAGGTCACCTGGCGCAAAGACAGCAGGGTCAGAGGGCAGAGGGCTCGACCTTCCCCACGTGGAGCCTCGGCCCAGCCTGGGGCCTGGGGCCTGAGGGGCAGCAGGGTGGGGTCTCCCAGAGCCAGGCCGCTGTGCCGGGGCTGCCAGGGCTGCCTGGTGTCAAGTGAGCGCGCGGCCACAGCGGCCCGGCCGTGCCCCAGCCCCAGGGTCAGCTGCAGGTCAGACCACCGCTGCCGGAGGTTGCCACACACGGCCGGCTCGGCCTCGTTCCTAGGCTGCAGACGCTCCGGGAACCCGCTCAGCGCACAGCGCACGCTGGCTGGTTGACGGACGGGGCGGTGTGGAGGCGCACGGGCCGGGAGGAGAACCCAGGTCTCCCGCATGGAGGGAGAGCATCCTACCCCGGAACCCCCGCCCCGCGCGCGTTCCTGCCCTCTGTGAACAGCGCATCCACAGCACAACGCCAAGGTCGGCACGGAGCGTCCACGGGGCCGGGCTGTGGCGCCCAGCTCTAGGGGCATGGGCCGGTCGGGAAGCTGCTATGAAGGGATTTCACCAGGTGACTGATGTTCCCACTCAGGTGACTGTAAGCAAAGGAGTGATCTTTGATAGCGTGGGTGGGCCTGGGCCAATCAGCTGGAGACCTTAAAAAACTAATGTTTCTGAGGAAAGAAGGATTCTGCCTCAGGACCCTAACACACACTTCCTGCTGCTGTTCCAGCCTGCTGCCGCCTCTGCTGCCGGCACGTCCACTCTGTCCTCTAGGGGCGCTGTGGGTCCAAAGAGACTCCGTGGCACTGGGTGTGCTCTAGGCTTTGCTTCCAGTGGGCTGTGGTTTGGGCTTTGCTTCCAATGGGTTTACTTTAGGGTTTCCTTCTGTGAAGATTGACAGCCTTGGAGACCCTTTGGGGCAGTTCCACTCTGTCCTCTAGGGGCGCTGGGGGTCAGAATGGACTCCAGGCAGTGGGTGTGGTTTGGGCTTTGCTTCTGTGAAGA